TAAAAGCGTGGTATATTAAAAAGGTTTTTAGCTTTTATTTATTTAATCGCACAATCCGCTTTTAAGCGCTCAGCGCTAAAAATAAAATTAAAGCTATAATAAAGCGAGATCAGCTGTTTCCACAAATGAAATTGCAAATTTAACATTCAGCGGGTGGTATAACAAATGGTGGTTTAATATTGATAAACGTCGACCAGTTTGTATTTTGTGTTTGCTTATGATTTCTTCAGAGCGCACAAGTAACTGTTGACATATGAAAGATTTCGAAAAATACAAATTTTGACAATTCTTTTTGTTGAAATTCTTGCTTATTTGCTCCATACAAAAACATTGTCGAACAAGAAATTGACAAAAATCAAACGTAAGTCCTGGCTACCTCGAACTTGCATTTTGTTGTACTAAAATTGAATATGCTACAAAACTACATACTTAGAATTTTTTAATTCTGAAAAAAAAGTTTGAAATTTTGATGAACATTTCGTTCATTTTTGCTCAAATTTCTTTATTCTATGTACACATGCATACGTATGTACATATGCATACATACCAGGGTTGTTGCGAATATTTGCATTCGCATTCGCAACCGCGGAACTTTCGCTCAAATTTTAACATTCGCATTCGCTTTCGCATTCGCAATAATCAATGCGGAGCTTTTGCGAATGCGAATATTGTGCAAGTGCCCCAAAAAATATATCAAAACACATTGAGCGCATGGAATAGAACAACAAAACGGATTTGATGGCTTATGGTACCGACAGCGGTGAGTAATTAATTGTGACTGCCTGAAACTAGGAAAAGCCATGCTCAGCTAACTAATAAAAAAACTAATTACGAGTTCATTGCAGGTGAACCTTTCCAAAAGGTCACCCGGGAATTAAGCAAATCTGAGGCCTTTATCGTCCGTGATTCCAATAATTGAAATTATTATAAAAAACGGGGTACCTTTTTAACAAAATCACAAGATTTTAAACTAATTCTGCTGGCAGCCACGACTTTTAAAACAGAATTTTCTTAGAAATTTTCATTCGTATAAAATAACAATTTATTAGCCATATCCACCTTTTCACAATGTCGCGACGCTATAAGCACATATTTTTCAAACCAGTCACAGAAGACAGGATTAAAAATGAATTACAAAAACTTAAATCGAAAAACGCTGTTGTCGTAACAGGTTCTCCAAATTCTGAAACAACCAAAATAATTGGTTCTCCAAATTGGAACACAACGGTGTTTAAACAGCAATATTGCCATGATGGTACATTGTGAAGATGAAAGTCAGGAGGATACATCAGAAATTTGCAGCCTCGATGCAATTCTCGAATTATTGAACCGCAAAAAAAACTGAAGTCCTCTCAACAAGTGCAGCGTCAATCGAAAAGAATATACAATTTTGTAAAGTTACAAGTTTTTCAAGTTTGTCGCCTCGAACGAGTAGTTACTTAATGTCGCATGTTTGATTTACGACCCGTTAGGAAACAGGCTATAACCCGAAAAAGCAGCAAAATTACTTTTCCAATTTTCTAATTTAAGTACCAAATAAAAGAATATTAAAAATTACTAAATTTTCCTTTTTTTCACCTCATGTACTCACCAAAAAATATTTCTTAAAATACAGTGAAAGGTCGCATAGACGGTTGCTCTAATAAGCGGACACATTCTTGGGACCGAACAATTTTTGGTTTTTTTTTCATACAAAATGCTCTCCCATACACGGACTTTCCGATAAACGGACGCGGACACTCAAAAATGTCCAGTTATGAAAAAAAACTCTCCCATAAACGGACGCGAAGCTCTAACAAGCGGTCAATTTTGTTTTGTTTTTCAGTCAAATGTTGACTCTTGCGCTTCTACATATGTATATGTACACAGGAACATAGCCCATATTCAAAAATATTTTATTTTCTAGAAAAAGGGTTGCCTTTTCGTTGCCAATGGGCAATGAGATTTGTCGGTAGGAAAGAAAACGCAATAAATTTGAATTTATTTTTCATTCACCCTGTTTCTGTCTATTGAAGAATAAATTTTATTTAAATTTAGAAACCCGCAGTTTAAATTTTTTAAGTATGAATTTTTATTTATTTTTTACGAAATTCCTATAAGCGGACATCTCTCATAAGCAGACAAAAAAGGTGACCATCGGTGTCCGCATATTGGAGCTTTCACTGTATTTGACATTCGCATTCGCATCCGCGGATGTTAGCTTTTAAACATCCGCATCCGCATTCGCTTTCGCGAATGTCTAAAATTCCACATTCGCAACATCCCTAATACATACATATATTTAAACTAGCTATTACCCGGCGTGCTTCGCTGTGACTTAAATGTATTGTGTTGTAACTCTCTCCCAAACCATAGAGCTTTATGAAGTAAGATTTAAAAAACAAATTTCGATCTATGAAGAATTGTTTAATTTTTTTGAGTGTGGGACCCACACTGTGGGTGTTAGTTAATATCTTTTCGAAGGTAATCAGAAAATATGTAAAAAGCCGACTTTCTCTTGGAAATTTAATTTATAATCTTACATCTGGAGTCTACTATCGCACCCTTTCCTCAAACGTGTATTAATTCAATATTCAAATACCGTATATTTATCTAATTTTAATAAAATTTGCCTTACTATACAAATATGTACTGCAGTATTAACAAATATTTTAAAATGTTGTGAGAGCGAGTACCAAAACAAAAATACTTTTAAGGCGCAGCGAAGCACGCCGGGTAATTGCTAGTATTTAATAATTAAATTGAATTAAAATTTTCAAACGGGTGACATCCTTCCAAAAAATATTTTCGCCTGTAACAGCCATCTGGCTGTAAAAAAATTCTCATGCCCATACAATTTGTATGAAGCATACTGAAATAACGCGGCGTAAATGCTTCTTCTTCTTCTTTATTGGCGCTGTAACCGCCTAAGCGATTTTGGCCGAGTCCAAAACAGCACGCTAGTCATTTCTCTTCTGTGCTAACTGACGCCAATTGGAAATGCCAAGTGAAGCTAAGTCCTTCTCCACCTGGTCTTTCTAACGCAGAGCAGGCCTTCCTCTTCCTCTGTTACCAGCATCGAGGCACGCGTTGAATACTTTCAGAGCAGGAGCGTAAACGCTTAGCGGTTAGAAAATCCGATTTTGGCAGGGCGTTAGGAAATAAAGTTGACTGCGGAAAACGGCGAAACTTTCATTTTCGTAGTTCACACAAACAAACCTATGCTTATTGTTGGTGTTATTTCTTCGTTTGACGTAGCGTTTTCGCGTTTGTTTAGGTATTGCATTTCGGCATTTATGGCAGTAGGCTTTCTTCAACCTTTTACTTTTGACAGCCATACTTCAAAACTTACTTTATCTTATCAATTTGCGTTAACTGAAATTTACAAAGATGGCCTCTCTAATATTGTTCTCAATATTTTAAATTGGACCTCTAGCAATGCGGCGGTGAGAAGCAGGGTTCGGAATTATTCATATATAAACGTTCGCGAACATACATTTATGATTTTATACGCGAAGGTGAACGTTTCAAATATTCTGTATTGATTCTCCTTCGCGAACGAGAAGCATAAAATAAGTCCAGATCGTTCGCGTTCGTGAATGATAGGTAGAAAAAATTTCCGCTGTTGTTCGTACGCGAATGTATTGGTAGACCAAACAGTGTGCGTTCATATATGTAGCCACGGTGGAGAGAATACAAAAGGTGGCGCCGATGGCAACACCACAACTAATCGGCTGTCAGAGAACTTGACAGAATCAGCTGTTTTGCTGACGTCACAGTCGAGATGACAGCAGTAGTGATGTGCTGAGCCAAAACTTTTAAGTATCCAATACTCTCGATACTCGGTACCGAAACATTTAGGTTTCGGATAAAAGCGCACATAGGCCAAAAATATGGAAAAAAACGCCTATCAAAATTCGAATCTAGGAGCCAATAGCCCCGATTTTTTATTTTTTTTATTGACGGTGCTGCGCATTTTATTCCATATAAAAATTTCGTCGAGCCTACTTTAAATGAGAGAAAATGCGCAGCACCATCACCAACAAATTCTCAAAAATCACCGCTATTTTAAAGACACTTGAAACTTGCACTTTATTGTACCCCTTTGTTGACATTTTTTTAACTCTGTATAAAGTTTTAAAATCGGATGTAATGAATATTAAATAAACAAAATTAAAAATGTAAATACTAAGGATTAAAAGGTTTACCTATTCAAATGACGAGGAGTGTATGTGGCGTACGATTGGTAGAGTGGGCGTTTTTACTCCAGAATGCGTGTGCAGCGGCTCTCATTGGTATACGTGTATTAGTAAGATTCGTTTCCCCCTTCATCTTTGCCCATGATTTTCCCCTGATCTGGCCCGCGAAATGGGCTCGCTTGCTCGTAAGGGCAAAAAAGCCCATACGGGCAAATGTGCCCATGTCTGGTATACGCGATTAATAACACAAAGAAAGGCAGTGAGAAACGCACCTAAAAACTCACTCCAAACACAACATTTTGGCAGCACCTTTCAATTTACATAGCATTGCCATATTTATTACAGTCGAACTTCTCTATAACGTAGTCACTGGGGATCGCCGATTTCTACGTTATAGAGAAAATTCGTTATAGAGAAACTACTGATTATGTATTTGGTTGTATGTACATATGTACATATGTGTATGTAAACACTAACTTTTTATTTCATTAGATGCTATTTCGATACATACAAATTTATATAAACATTAAAACTTATTTAATATGAAAGAATGACGTTATTCTCGTTTGCCTCAAACTTTTAAATTTCTCTTCATCGACAAAATCTTCACATCTATTGAGGAAGGAAAAAATTTCATCCGGGATATTATTTCTTGATTCCATAAATGTTCTTATTGTGTTGAAAGATGAGTGTAGTTGAGAAAATGTTGGCAATTCATTTTCTTCTTCATCAGCGTCAGAGTCATCATTTTCTGAATCTAAATAAAAAACTATATTAGTGGGTATTCTTCATGATTCTTGAGTGGATATGTTGTACTTACTATTAAGCCCATACTGATTTGATAGAATGTGCTGGACAATTGTCAATAAAAAGTAAAATCTTCCTTTTTTGAGCCGCAAATTTTTTGTCCAACTTTAGAAGCCACTTCTCATATAATTCACTAGTCATCCAAGATTTTGAGTTATTCTCGTAATCCACTTCTAGATATTGTAATCCTTTAAAACAACGAGGATTTTTGGATTTTCCTATGACAAGGAGTCTAAGTTTTTCTGTTCCACTCCAGTTTGAACCTACCATGACAGTTATTCTTTCCTTGCTTTTTTTGCCACCAACACATTTTTCATTTCGAAAGGCTAGTGTTCGGGATGGCAAACATTTAAAAAACAATCCTGTTTCATCAGCGTTAAATATGTCATTCTTATCGTATTCTTGAATAAGGGAAGGTAAAATATTTTGTATCCAATCATCCCGAGTTTGGATATCAATGGATCCGCTTTCACCACAAACAACTTTTCCAACAATGTTATGTCTTCGTTTAAATTTATCAAGCCAACCAGCGCTAGCTACAAAATCGGAATATCCCAATGATTCTGCAAACTCCACAGCTTTTTCTCTGATTAACGGTCCGGAAAGTGGAATGTTCTTATGCCTTGCAACGGTGATCCACTTAATCATGGCTTCATTAACATCAGGATATTCACAGGATCTAGCTTTCTTAAATTTCTGAAGTATACCAGAAGAACTAGATTCTTGAATCTTATCTTTATTCATCGAAATTGTTGACAAAGTAGTTGGAGAAATTCCAAACTCTGCAGCAATATCCTTCTTTTTTTTATTTCCTTGTGATACTGCAGAAATTATAAGACACTTTTCTTCAAAAGATAAACTTTTGCGCTTAGACATCTTAATTTGAAAACAACCTTGCAGCACAAAACTTATTACAAACTAAGATTTTCTTACTCACTTTCATTTATTTTTTTTTCCTTGAAATAGGCACACAAAATGTAACGTATTTTACCGCAATATTTGTGTGTGCATAAATTCATTGGAATATTGCGACTGCTAAAAAAATTCGCTATAGAGAGGTTTATTTCGTACATAAAACACCAGTTGTGTTGTTAAATAAGCTTCGTTACAGAGAAAACTACGTTATAGAGAAAACTACGTTATAGAGAAATTCGTTATAGAGAGGTAAAAATGTGTGAAATACATCAGGAAAATGCAGTGTTTTTCAAAAAAATTCGTTATAGAGACAAATTCGCTATAGAGAAGTTCGTTATAGAGAAGTTCGACTGTAGTCTCTCGTCCAATCGTACGCAATCTTCAATTGCTCTACCCTTTCAACAAACTGCACAGATGTAATGTCATTTTTGCATGGATCGAAATCTGGCTACATATCTATGATTTCATTCAACCCAAGTTTAATATTGTTGTACACATATACAGTACACATATTCGTTTGATTTTGAACGTTCTGTTCTCATATCTTCGCAATGAGTTGAAGTTAGAAAGATTCGTTGAGTTTAACATCTGCTCACTACCTCTTACAGCTGATGCGCTTAGGCCGTGGTTACGCCACCAATTTCGATTGGCAATCACCGTGCAATTATTGTTGTGCACAGCACGGAGTGAGAGAATTTTCGAAATCGAACAGTAAGCACGATTTGCTGGGTGAACCGAACAGCCAGCACGCCAATTTTTCAGGGTGGCAATAGGCTATTTTGCGAAAAAGTATTATTATTAAATATTAGAATAGTAAAAAATATTTTTTTATTATTATTATAAAGCAGATATTAAAAAAATATTATTATAAAAATTAAATGTTAAAGAAAGAAAAAATATTAAGTTTTTCTTCCGTCTTTCATTTTCCGACTTCAATTTCGATGCGTTTTTAGTTGCATTTTTACCTCAGTGCTGCCATTGTGTGCGTAATTGTATGAAATGGAAAAAGGCATTTCTTAAGCAGCAACCCTGTGCTCGCCAATCAGCAAACGGAGCTTAACCACTTCTCACCAATCAGCGAAAATTTTCTCTTTTGATTGTCAATTAAAATTGGTGGCATAATCACGGCCTTATTGGCAAATTACATATATTGAACATCCAAATAAGACCTTGGCGTTGGAATCGTCGTTACGACAGGGAACATAACTTCCTGCGCAGCATGCGTTCGTGTAATATGACTGCTCATACTTACACCACTGCAGCTTCCCCTTGCAAAAGTCATTTGTTGGCTGTTCATACTTGCCGAATTGAAGTTTATTGCTGCCGCTATCGACGTTACTGTTGTTGTTGTAGACTAAAGCTGTAAAAGTAACGAAAATTTTTATACCCGTATGTATTCGTTACTAATCCAATCAACACCCGTATCTTTCGTATCGTTACTTTACTCGTTACTTTTGATACAAGCACTTGTACCTCACAAGAATCATCGCAACAAATCTTGCAGCGAAAGGAAATGTTCGTTCGTCCATATGCATACATGTAAATACATATATACATATGTATAGACGCATCATATTTTTGTATCGATTCGAACAATTTGATACAATCAAGCACTTGTACCTCCCCTGCAGTACGGGGGAGCGACTACAGGACTGCTGAATCGGTAGCTACGTGATAAACTCCGTCAATTACCGACCGACTACTTGCAGTGTATTTGATCGATTACTTTTACAAGGCAATGTAGTCACCATCAGCTCTCTCTGCACTACCGGAAGTTACTAAAGTAGTCACTTGCGTGATTTATGGGCGCCCTCTGTAGTAGTTTTTCGCTATCTGGTTCGACTCCGCACTACCATGTGCACTACCTAGGGTTAATAGAGTAGCTACTTACCTAGGAGTCGGTGCAGTAGCGGTTCAAAAGTAGCGATTGAATCCAGCAGTACTGGAGGGTCACAGGAATCATGCATGCATGTACGTACATATACATGCAACACACTTTAGTATCGATACGAAAAACAGTTTCGTTACCGCACAATATGTTGTGTTGTATTGATTCACGTTGATGGCAGTGATCGGATTAAAAAAAATTCTGTGTGCGGGGAAAAATGTGATAGATTTCAAAAAAATGTGGTAGATTTCAGGTTTTAGATCAAACTTTGTAAAAAAATTCAAAAAATTCGGCATGGTTTTACCTAAATTGCAAACTTTTAATTAGACTCTAAAAAAAATTTAATTTTGAAGTTGCTAATGATTGCATTGAGTTTTGACAATTTTTCTTCCTTAACAGTGTAAAGCAGTTTTTTCCATAGCAATATATATTTCGAACATATTTCAGGAGATTTCTGCAACCTTGCGGAGTGATGCCAGCTTTTCTTTTTATCACATCACGATGTAGCGAACAAATGTAGCACGTTCCAAAAACCGCTACTTGGGATTTACCGACTTTGACAATTCTCAAGTAGAAGCAAGCAACGCCTCAGAAACTTTAGAAGCACTTAAATTTGCTAATACTTTCACAAAAATCGCACATTTTCACTATTAATTCTTTTTATAAATCATATATTTTGTAATTTAACACAATAACACCACGTTTCCTGTCGAAAAACGTATTATTAATATTTTACTATTTACCATTTTACAGTTTATTTTATCCTCCCATTCGGCTTTGTTTACTTTTACTTGAGAAATTTCATCGCCGCCGAGTATGCAGAATCATGAATTATATCATTCTTGTTACCATATAGTGTTTAGTGTTGGACAGTTTTTGCTCTTAAAATTTAAAAAATTATGTCGACTATAAATAATACTCCTCAAAAACGCGGATATGTGGTAGATTTCAGACCTTGAGTGGTAGATGTGGTAGATGCTCAAAAAAGTGGTAGATCTCCCACAATGTGGTAGAAGTCCGATCACTGGTTGATGGTGCATATACGGAACATGCGAGTAACGAGACTATTATGTGAGTAACGAAACGAATCTTGCAGCGTAAGGAAATGTTCGTACGTACATATGCATATATGTACATATATACATATGTATACACGCAACATATTTTTGTATCGATTCGAACAATTTGATACAATAAGCACTTGTACCCAGTGATGGAAAAATAGGCCCAATAGTGCCATATTTGGCCCTTTCATTCTGAGGCACTTTTGGTACAATTCATCCTGTTTTGGCAGAATCATAAAATATAGAAGTTTAGTATAAAATGCCAGTATATAACAAAAAATTACGTACCACATTATAGATTAAAAAATTACAAAAAGTGAAAATTAAAAGCACTTACAAATTAAAATAAGGGCTGTGAGAATTATTTGCAGACCGCTGAATTCTGTTGTGAATATGCAGTACGAAAAGTAAGTTTTCGCCACAACAAACTTTTAATTCAGAATTTTCGGAAAGATTCTAAGTTCGCAGTTTTATAGTTCATTAAATGAAAGTGCAAGTTTCTGCAATATCCCGATGTTTTTTGATATTTTTTTCTGACGGTGTCATATATTTTGATCCATTTAAAAAAATTTTGAACGCACTTTATATGGAAAAAATGCATAACATCGAAAACTTGGAATCTCCCTAAAAATTCTTAATTCAAAGTACTTTGTTGCGAAAACCTGCTTGCTGAGTTTTTATAATTTTTGTACAAAATTTGAAATGCCGATTTGTGTACATTTATTGTGTTTATTAAATTACAAGCAGACCCGGCGAATTTCGTTCCGCCCAAAATTTTTATATATTTTATTGAAACTTTTTGGTCCAACAATTTCACCAACAATTCACGTTTACGATTTTCATTGGCACATTCGTCTGCTAAGATTATGGTTTGGTAGTCATTTGCCGCTTTAAATAACCTAAGGAACGTGTTATATCCGTGAAGAAGTTCTTGAAACGCTCAAGTTGTGCGGCATTTCACAGCACGGTTATTCGCAAAGCGAAATAAATTTTTTCCTCTTCACTCCCTGGCGGCAACAATGACCCGGTTCTATAGTGAATGTCCTAGAAGCTTTACAGTATAGTTGGTGGCAATTTCAAAATGGGTGCGAATCATTGTTCCACAGAAATGTAATATACATTTTCTCACTTGGCTATTTTTAGTAATAGCTCGACTTCAGCACCACTTGGCAGCACGTTTTTGCAATAGTACTGCATACATATTTAAAACATTAACCAAGTCGGATCATAAATAAGATTTTTAGTAATAACTCAACTACAGCGCCAACTGTCGGATTAAATTGTGAAACTAAACCATCCAGAGACCCACTCAAATACACAAAAAGTTTCGTTAAAATCCGTACAACCATTTAGGAGGATTTCACTCACAAACACACCTACAGAAGAATAAAAAAATTCATTCAAAGATAGCAAAAGGTCGGTAGGTTTGTAGGCCTCACACCCCTTTTCAAATAGTCCAAATTTTCTCCATGAGTATGGGCTTGATTTCAACTACATACATAACTCCATACGAAGTTCCAGTACTGAACCATGAATACTTTCAGAGATATGTAGTATAAAAATTCGATTTATATGGGAGGTGCCACGCCCCCCTTTCCAACAGCTGCCCTCTTTCTTTATGAGTATGCGATTGATTTGGTATATCCCCATACCAAGTTCCAGAACTCTACCATGAACACTTCCAAAGATAGGCAGTATGGAAAATTCGGTTTGTATGGAAGATGCCACGCCCCCTTTTCCAATAGTTCCAATTTTTCTTCAAGAGTATTCGGAGCGTATATCTCCGTACCAAGTTCCAGAACC